TCCCTCCTTCTTTCCTTCCCTCCCTTCTTTCTTCTCCTTTTTTCTTTCCTTCATTCCTTCCTTTTTCCAGGGTAAAAATTCTCAGTTCATTCAATTGATTCTTATGTGACACAGACTCCCTAACATCACCGTGCTTGTCACTCTTGTTTGGACAAGTTCCCTTTTGTCCATATTCCTCCTAAAATGTGTCATGCAGAGCTTAACACCAACTCCAAATGTGGCCTGGTAGCAGTAAGAAACTTCTGAACTCAAGTTCTATTTCTGACATAATATTAACTCTGTGACTTTGGGCCAGTCACTAACCCTTCCAGTATCCCCAAGCAATACTCTTGAGAGTATAGGCGACATGGGAGGTATCTCTCTAAAGAGGAAGTTCTTTCCAATGATGAGATCACAGTCCAGGATAAAAATGAAGGAATGAACAAACAGGTGAGCAAATCAATAAAAATTGTGCTCTTGCCCAAGCATATAAAGAATATAAAAGGGACTGACATTCAGGCTGAATTGTTTTAGGAAGATCCTTGATCATGTATGAGATAGACTAGATCAGAGATGTCAAACACATGGCCCACATCTGCTGTCCACAGCATTCCTGAGCAGACCTGAACTAGATTAAAAAATTGGGGGGAAACATTTAACAAAATAAATAAAAATACAAACGATTATAGATAATATTAATATGTGGTCAACATGCAACCAGTAGGGATCCTCACATACGGTTTAGTGGCTCCCTATTTCTATTTGAATTTGATGTCACTGGTGTAAATTACCTCTGAGGTTCCTTCCAGCTCTGGGAATCTCTGATTCTGTGATGCTTTGACTTTCTCAGGGACACACACACACACACACACACACGCACACACACACACACACACAGACACACACACATACAAATATAGTAAGTAGGCATTTTATGTAAATATNGAATCTCTGATTCTGTGATGCTTTGACTTTCTCAGGGACACACACACACACACACACACACATGCACACACACACACAGACACACACACATACAAACATAGTAAGTAGGCATTTTATGTAAATACACACATATACACACACTGTGAATATAATATATACTCAATATACATTACATAAAGTTGTGTGTGTGTGTGTGTGTGTGTATGTGTGTGTGTGCACGCATTAGAATCCAGATCTTCTGGTCTCCCCCTTCCTCCCACATCCTGCAATTTGGCTAACCCATCCTTCTCTTTGTTTCTCACACTCAACACTCCTCGACTCCCCTGCCTTTGCTTTGGCTGTGCCCCCTCCTAGAATATACTCCCTCCTCACCTCTGCCTCAAAATATTCTTCTCTCCTTTCAAAATGCCTTCTATAGCAAGCCCTTCTTGATCTCCTCAACTACTAGTGTCCTCTTTCCCTAGCTTTGTTGTTGTTTAGTCATTTTCACTCATATCTGACTCTTCGTGACCCTTTGTGGGGTTTTCTTGACAAAGATACTGAAGAGGTTTGCTATTTCCTTCTCCAGTTCATTTTACAGATGGGGAAACTGAGGTATAGAAAGCTATGAGACTTACTCATATCTCTCAGACACAGTTGGGATGTGTCTGAGGCTGGATTTGAACTTAGGAAAACGAGTCTTCCTGACTCCAGGCCAGGATCTCTATTCAGTATGCCACTTAACTTCCCTCCTTAACTACCTGACATTTAACCACTTCATATTTATTCTTTTTATATTTATTCTATCTGTATTTACATTCTTATCTCACCTATTAAAATGTAAACTCTTTGTTATTAGGAACCACTTAGTTTATTTTTTTTATTCTTAGAATCTAACATTACTAATAGATGTTTGTTGATTGGTTGATTGATCTAAAACCAGTGTTCTTTATACTATCCTAATAAACCTCGCTAAAGAATGACCTTCAGAGCTGAGACTCAGCCTTTTAAATCTCCTCAGTGATGACTGATCTTTTCGACATTGGATTTCATTTGTAGAAACAACCCAGAGTCATTTGGAGCTGCTTCTGGGAATGAAGTGAGTAATCACACTGGGGAATACCTCCCTCTATGTATCACAACATAGTGGAGCACAACATGATGGAAAGGGATGCCAGATTTGGATTCAAATAACTTGAGTTCAAGGCCTAGCTAGCTTACTATCTTAGGAACTCTCTAACTTACAGCACTTACCGTAGTGGACACAGTAGGTACTTAATAAATGTTGATTGAGTGACTAACTATACAACCCTAGTACTCAGTTTTCTTGTCTATAAAATGAAAGACTTGGACTAGGCAATACTAAGATATCTTTTATCTCTAAATTATAGTAATAGAAATATTAATATTTAATGTGATGCAGAGTGAAGTGAGCACAACCAGGAGAACGATTTACATGGTAACAACAATATTGTAAAGATAATTAACTGTGAAAGATTTAGTAACTCTGATCAACACAATGACCCACCATTGCTCCAAAGCACTCATGATGAAATATACTGTCCCTCTCCACATAAAAACCAAAAGACTCAGAGATTGAAGCATTTTTTTCCTCTGTCCTTCTTTTTCTTCCTTTTTTCGGGGAGGAGGGGAAACGGGACATGTTTAATGTGGAGATTTGTTTTTCCTGATTTCATATTTGAAATGGGCTTTGTATTTCTTGCTTTGTCAATGGGTGGATGAAGGGTAAGGGGAGGGAGAGAATTTGGAATTGAAAATAAGATAAAATTTAATTAAAAAAGGAAAAAATAATAAGATAAAATAAATTATATAAAAAAGAAAAGAAGGAAGGAAGGAGAGAAGGTAGGAGGGAGATAAGGAGGGAAGAAAGGAAGAAAAAGAAAGAAAGAAGGAAAGAAAGAAAGGAAGGAAAGAAGGAAAGAAAGGAAAAAGGGAAGAAAAACCCTCTCTTTGACCCTGAAAGGAGATGACTTAATCGAGGTCACAAGAGGGAAAAGCTAAGACCAAAACCCAAGACTTCTGATTCTGAGGCCCAGGTCTTTCCCCACTGCATTTTATTGACAACTCATCTGAAGAGGGCCTCTTGGGGATAAGTTAGAAGAAGGCAGGTACAGGAATCTCTCTGTTTCATATATGTTGGACATGTCTCTGAAACTCTGCTGATTGGCATTAGGAAATGTTGTTTTCTGAAGAAACTGTTATGGAAAGAACATCGGATACACAGAAGAAAAATTTAAAGTTTCAAAAGGGGACAGAAGCAGGGTCTTTTTGTCACTTGTCAAATTTAATGAATGCTTAAAAAAATCTCATTATAACAAAAGTTCACAGTTTCATACACAAATCTCTGTGTTGAAATTTTTGTATATGTCAACAATTATTAAGTTCATAATTTTTTTTAAAAAAGTGCTTTGGATTTGTAGCTGGAGAACCTGGGTTCAAATCCCTATCCTGCTACTCACTACCTGTGTGACTTTGATAAAGTCATAAATCAGTCTTGGCTGTAGTTTCCCATTTTCAAAATGAGAAACTCTCCAACACCCCTTCCATCTCTAGATTCCAGATACCCAGGATCTTCCCAAGCCCTTATAGTCTGTTATTTGCCAAGGCATCAGAAGATTCACATTCCATAGACCATTCTTTTCTCAGGCAGCAATGGCCCATGTTTTCTAGAATTCATGCTTAGGCCCAGTCTCCAGTAAAAGAGCTCTATCCCCCTGGGGTTCCTCAGCCTGGTGGGGAGTCCTCCCAACCTCCTTTCCCTGGGACCCAGGAAACTTGATCTGTGAGTTAATGCAGGTTAAGGGTGTTGTTTTAGCTCATCGTGTCTCACAAATATTTACCTTGGAGGACTCTAAATACAATGGACACTACAGCTGCTCAGCCCCAAAGGGAAGCACACGCATTCCTGACGGCAGGTTGTCAGGATAAAAGGACAGACTGTCCCCATGTTCCCACCAGGAGACGGTGGCCCGACTGAGGTGACGAGTGGAGAGCTGGAAACTCCAGCTAGTGCAGGTAAAAATGATGTGAACAGTATAATGAATTTTGCTTTGCTGTAAAATACCACAGAGATTTCCCAGGTAGAGACAACTACTGAATGGAACAAGGGATTCTACTGCTGTCTTCTGCTGCGGCTTAAGTTCTCTTCATGTTGGTGAGGCTGGAATTTACTAGTTCCCAGAGATCCTCAGGTCAAGTAGATGAGCTGTGATGAATCAGCCTGAGCAACTAAAACTTTTGTTTGCATCCAATCTCGTCATTACTATTTAGTCTGAAGCCTTACAAATATACATTTTAAAGCCACCTTTCCTATTTGATTAGAGGTTTCATTCAATTTTGTTTCGAAATGGCAATGCCCTATTTGTCTCCCTTGTTGCCTTTATTGGGGCAATATTTTGATTGCTTGTGCCCTGTGCTTAAGCAGCTAGGTGGTACAGTGTGGAGAGCGCTGGACGGGAGATGGCAGACCTGAGTTCACATTGTCCCAGGCGCTCACTAGCTGTGCGAACTTGGGAAAGTCACTTAATATCTATCTATCTATCTCAGTTTCCATATGGGGATAACTATGGTACCTACCTCTTAAGATTGTTGAGAGATTCAACTGAGATAACATTTGTAAAGTCCTTTGCAAATGTTAGCTAGTAGTATGACTAATAATAATAATAATAAATGATTGTAGATTGTGCCGGAGGAGGCAGCTAAGAAGCAGGATGAAAGGCAGTCTGTGAAAAGTTCACAGACAGCTTAATTCAACTACTCTTTATTGAGTACCTATTGTGCAAAGCACTGTGTGGATAAGTGAGAATTAATTAGTTGCTTTTTATTTGGATGAGAAGTAATCTGTGGTTTCATTTATTGATGAAGTCTTCTATTCTTAAGGATGAGGTGGAAGGATGTGGGATAAATAATAAAATTAAATTGATTCAGGTCTGGTTGAATGGCCAATGAATTAATTGTTTAGTGTCGATTTGGAAGGAGTTTTCCAACTGAGTCACCCGTGATCTGTCCTTGGCCCTCTGTCATTTAACATTTTAATCAATGAATGTGCATCTAAAAGCACCTTTATCAAATTTGTTGATGACATAAAGCTGTAAAGGTCAGTCATACACTGGATGACAAGAATCCAGATTCCTCCCCCTCTAATCCTGATAGGTTAGAACTCAGGCTGAATCTAACATAAAAAGTTTAATAGAGATAATTATAAAGTCTTAAACTTGGGTTCAACAAAATCAACTTCACAAGTGTACGACGGAGGGTGAGAATATGATTAGCAGCAGTTCATTTAAAAAATACATGGACATTTTAGTGGACTTCAAGTTCAGTTTGAGTCAAGGGAGTGATGTGCCAGACAAATCAACTAGTCCAAACTTGGGAAACTTTAAGAAAGCGTAACTCTCAAGGATAAGGGTGTTATAGCCCAGCCACACTCTGCCATGATTAAACCACATCTATGCTCAGGTCTGGAAACTATATTTTAGAAAAGATGTTGATAAACTAAAAGAAAATCTCAAGGAAGGTGGTGACCACAGTGGCAAAGGTCTTCAAGTTCATGCCATGTGGAGACTGAATAAATTTATTAGCCTGGAGAATAAAGGACTCAGGAAGGACTAGAAAGCTATTTTGAGATGTTCAAAGGGCTGTCATGTGGGAGAGAGATTAGGCTTGTTCTCATTGACCCCAAAGGGAAATGGGTGGTTGTTACAACTAGTTAGAAATAGAGAGTTTCTGATGCCCTTCCTGGCTCTGAATTTCTATGATTTAGTATTAAGTGATAGACAGATAGAGATAACTCCAGTGCTCCAGGCTAGGACGGAGGAGGGCACAGGTTCTGAGGAACTCAATTTCGACTCAAACTCAATTTTCACTTATGGAGAGATATTCAGATACTCCCACTGTTCCTAACCCAAAGTTGAAACTCTTCCATTTTCCCACCTTAGTTCATCATCAGCATTAGAGCATGACCACTGCTGATTTTTATAGGTAATTACCCTTAGGGAGAGAGTTATCAGCCTTAATGTCCTAGGTATGTTTCTAGAGATGCCTATGTTTGATAGCTGTCTGCTGTGTGTCCTTGAGGGGGTGAAGGGCAGAGTTATTGTTTACCATCTATTACATGCCCATATGTTTTCTTCAGGGAGGAAGTGGCATAATTGTCAGGGGGTCATCACTGCCACAAAGCATCTGTGCTGCAAAAGGTGAGACAGCAAGCAGCCTCTGATCATTAAAGGCTAAATAGCCCCATGACAGCTTAAGGAAGATGCTTTAGTTAGGCATTCATAGAATCTTTGTGGAAAATTAACTTTTTCCTTTGAGTCTGCTTATAGTTGTTAGGGA